CCCTTCACTATTTTTTTGCAAAGGTCTGGTAGTGTCACACTGTTAAGTTTTTGTCTGGGATTATCTTAATTTTCCCTCTCTTTTTGAAGGATATAGATTTTTGATGGACACAGTATACTTGGTTGACAGGTTTTTTTGTTTTTTTTCTTCTTTCAGTACTCTGCATATGTCATCCTACTCCCTTCTGGCCTCTAGCTTCTGATGAGAAATCAACTGCTATTACTGGCGATCCCTTCTACGTGATGAGTCATTTATTTTTGCTTTCAAGATTCTGTCTTTCAATAGTTTGATTATGATGTGTCTTGCTATGAATTTGAGTTTATCACACCTAAAGTTTGTTGAGCTTCTTAAATGGTTAATGTCTTTATCAAATTTGGGAATGTTTGGCCATTATTTCTTCAGTTATACTTTCTGCCCCTTTCTCTCTCTCTTTTTTGGGACTTCATTATGTGTAGGTTGGTAAGCTTGATGGTGTCACAGTCTCTCAGGACCTGTTCCTTTTTCTTCATTCTTTTTTTCTGTTATTCAAACTGAATAATCTCGATCTTCAAGTTTTGGGTTCTTTTTCTATGATACAAATCTGTTGAGCCTTTCCACTGCATTTTTAAATTTGTTACTTTTCAACTCCAGAAGATTTAAAAAATAATTTCTATCTCATTAATATTTATTATTTTGTGAGACTGCTCCTGTACTTTCATTTAGATATTTAGACACGGTTTTAGTTCTTTGCACATATTTAAAATGGATGATTTAAAATCTATATTTAGTAAGTTCAATGTCTGGACTTCTTTGGGGGCAGTTCTATTGACTACTACTTTTCCTGTTTATGGACTATACTTTCTTGTTTCTATTTGTCTTAATGTTTTGTTGAAAACTGAACATTTTAATTAATATAATGTGACAACTTTGGACAAGCAGATTTCCTCTGACCTTTCAGGGTTTGTTGTTGTGGCTATACCTTGCTGTTTCTCTTTGTTTAATGACTTACCTGCAAAATCTTTTGTATACTTTATAGTATGTGGCCACTGAAGTTTCCATCTAGTGATTGGCTAATGATTGAACAGAGATTTCCTTATACACTTGGGACTCTGTGTATATGTTTGGGGGACACACCAACACTAAATCAGGTTGTTGACAACTGTGTCTTAGTTTCGCTTCTTGTGTGCAGAGCCTCAAAGTCGGCTAGAGGTGACAGCTTGGCACCTATTCATGTCTTTCCTGAGCATGTACACAGTCCTGTGTGTGTGCTTGGACTTCTAGATTCCCAGGAATATGTCAGAGCTTTTCAAAGCCCCTATCCTATAGACTTTGATATCTATAGACACCTCATCCTGCAGCTTTTCCTTTTAAGCTTTTTGGTTATATCTATTGTTTTCCCCAAATGTTATCATTACCTCAGGCAGTCATGAAATTAAAACATTTGTCTGTAATTGGTTTTGACAAATGCTCATCCCTGCACTCCCCATCAGCCCAAAGAGAAAGGCTTTTTTTTCACTAGGCAAGCTCCAAGTCAGGTCTACTATAAACAGTCTTATAAATGGGGTATCCCAGGAACCACCAGACAGGTCCAATAATGAAAATTATTTGGCAATTAGGTTTTGAAAGAGCTCCACCCTCCACCACTCTTTTGTCCCTTTGGTGCCTGAGATGCTGCAGTGGGAAAATGGGCTGTTATTTTTCAAGTTTACTCCAGAGTGAGGGATTGGGACTAAGGTAAGTTAAAATGCCAAAAAGTCAGCCATTTTTCTTGATTAAATGCTCCATAGGTTTCTGTAAGACTTTGGTTAATTATTAGAATTCTAAAAATGTTGATTCTGGAAATTGTTGACAGTTATTTTTCATTACTTTTATGGAGGAGCAAATTTTTGGAGGTCCTTACTCTATTTTTTACTGTCTTTCTGCCCTTGGCTTTGACTTTTAAATTACAAAAGCAGTTAGTATACTGCATAAACTACACATGCAACTACTCCACCTCCACATTCAAGAATCACATCCTACTGCAGAGGAATGAGATGGCTGAGGAGGCTATAACGAAACACAGACATTATTTCGGTGTCATTGAGGGGTTTATACTCATGTTTCAAGGACAAGATAACAGCAAAAAACATAAAAGACAGCATCAGCGCCTAGTATCTTTAGGAACACAATAAATGCTGATTTAATAAATAACAAACTAGCCCTAATTGACTGATAAATGCAAGTTACATAATTTCAAAGAAGAGATTCACTAGGGTAGAAAAGGCATCACAAAAAATAGAGGTCTCTGCTTGGGTCTTGACAGAAGCATAGGACAGTGGTGAGAAGAGAGAAAAACATGCCAAAAAGGAAAAGTGATTCAAAGCTCTAGAGAGTTTAAATATTATTAATATAAGCCTTTCTATATTCTGGATGCAAGTACTTTGTCAGGTATTAGTGCCAACATACATGTTGGTACTCATATAAAGCAATAAACATTTGTCTTCAGAGTAAGGCTTATTGATGGGTATAATGGGAGATAAACTAATCAAGACAGAGGCTAGTTAGTGAAAATCCTTGAATGCTAACATAAGGAGTTAAGACAGTCTATAAGCCAGAAGGTGGCAAACTATGGCCACAGCCCTCAAGCCAAATCTGGATGGCCACCTATTTATGTAAGTAAAATTTTATTGGAACACAACCATGCCAGTTCACTCACTATCATCTATGGCTGCTGTAGGGCTACAATGAGTAAGATGAGTAGTTGCAACAGAGACTATATAGCCCACGGAGGCTAAGGTATTTACTGTCTGACCCTGATATTGGCTTTGACTCTGGCCCTCACCCTCTGCCTTGCACACAGTCAGGTTGTGGCCTCAGCCTTACATAATAAAAAAGAACATGTAAGAGACAACTTTAAAAATCTATATATAAGGTGAGCAGCATTAGACTCAGGGAAATTTTGCTGGACTTATGACAGGTTGAAGGGAAGGAGTAAAAGGTCAAAGATGACTCCAAGATTCTGAACATGTATGATTGGTTGAAAGATGGTAGTGATAACTGAAATTGCATATTTGGAGTAAAGTTAGGTCAAAATATAATGAATATGTGTTTAAATGTGTGAAGTTTCCAGGTATTAGGGAAATTGCCAACTGGGATACTTAAAAGTAGAGCTATAATACTTCAACTTGGGAGAAATGGTAGGGTTGGAAATGGGGGTTTAAAAGTTCTTCATATAGTTAAAGCCATAAAAAATGGAAGTGACTTCCCAGGATGAATACAGAGAAAGAATAAATGAATGAAGCACCAGGTATTAGGATCTACTCACACAGATCAAGGAGAAGACAGGAAGAAGTGGAGCCAATGGAGACAGTGTAGGAATGGCCAGAGAGAAAAGGTGAGAATCAGAGTAGCATAGCAGAAGTCAGGTAAGCTATGAAAGCTGTTTTAAGAATGAAGGCACAAGGATGAAGGAAAGCCTATAAAGGAAAGAGTAAATGGGTAAAAGGTCAACTGTAATGGCGAAGTGTCAAAGATGTCAAAAAGAGGAGAATATCAAGGTGGAGAGTACTTAATTTTTCAGATGATTTTCTAGAATTCAATGCTTTATAACTGTAATTCTGCAGAGAAGTAAACTTTACATTTATTTATAAATATATTCAGCCTTTGTATTAATTTTCACATGTATTAGAGATGATGCTCACAATCTCTATTAAGAAGAGCTTCCCAAAATGGGGATTACAGAAATGATTGGCAATAAGAAAAAAATAAAACGTTATTAAAAACCCTGATGAATACAAGAAGCAAAAAAAGGGTGTTCAACCAGAGCATAATAAACAATGGAGAAGCCTGGGAAGAAAAACAGATACAATGGCCGCTTCTCTAAAGATTGCTGTACTTTATTACAGGCCATGTCCAACCAACCCCTATCAACTAAGTCAATTATCTTACTGTTTTATAACTGTTTGTTTGTGTAAGACCTCACCAAACTTCGAGTGAAAAATTTTTTTACTACTTATATCTTCACTGCCTAATATCCACATAGTGGATAGTCACTGAACCACTATGCTTAAATATTTCTTTGTGCAAGGTGCTGGGAACACTTAAATCTGAATTGAAAAATTATTTTTAATTTCCTAATAAAAAGTCATTAAATGTATTAGTAAAAAATCAACCCATTGGCCTACAGATTACAGAGAAAGTAAAAAGAGGCAATTCTATGAACAAAACATGAAATACAAAAAAAGAAACCATGTTCTCAATGGCTAACATTTGCTAGGACAAAGTGAGAAAAATCTAAGAGGTAAAGCAGTGAACATTTATAACGAAAACAAAAGTTACTGCAATAAAAAAGCAGAAGACATTATTTAAATAGCGCCATTTAAAGCTCAAAGAAAATCAATAAAAGTGAGTAGGGTGTTTTAAAACTCTCTAGTATATAAATCCTTGACAAAAAGGTTCAATTAGTAGATCGAGAACCAGGATTAGAAATGGAGATTCTATAGGAAATACCTTGGAGCCTTCAAGGACTTTCAAAGTTCAAATGCACTTTATGACATCTAATTTTACTCATAACCAATTATATTATCGATAAAATGTATAAGCCATGACATGAATAGTTTTTTTAAGTTGCAAATAAAAATACAGAAATAAAGGAGAAACTTAGAAGAGGGTGAATTAAAGGGCTGGCGACACTGCCTGACAAGAAATGATCTGAGTTGGTTAGCACACTTAAAAGGGAAAAACAATGTATATGAACTCCCAACAAAGGTATAAAAGGAGGTGGAGAGGAAAAATAGAGGTGTGATTCTCTGCATTAGCCACTAGGTGGTGGCATTGTCCCAAGACGGTTCAGTTGTAGGGGGCAGGAAATCAGGTGCCTAGAGTAAGCAATTGCTCGGCCATTTGTAGGTATGGGACCGTCAGAGAATACATTCTACTTGATTAATATAAACTTTGAAAGCAAACACTTTGAAACATTAGGAAAATCAACAACAAATTATATGAAATAATTATAAAATATACAATTGTACTTGTCCACTTACCTTCACTACATTGTCTCCTGATTGCCCATTATTTCGTAAACAATCTAGACATATAGCAATTTGTGGGTCACTTCTGTGATAGTCTTTATCATCTTGATTTTCATCACCTTCTTCATCTACTTTAGATTTGTCACCTTTTGAATTATCATCTGTACAATTTAAACAAAACTAAGTTACATATTACTCAAAGTTGATAAAGTTAAGCAGCAGTACATTAATCATCAGAACAAAAATCAACTTTAAAAAACATTTAACAGTTTTTGATGAAGAATAACTGAAAATCTTAATACTTTTAAAATGTTCCACCCAACTCAACAATGGAAATATTTTTAAAAACCATCAGTGACTTAGTAACATAGTCTAAGATGTTTAGGCTCACTGGGATATCCAAATGAAAGATTCAGGACTAGCTATATTTGGTCACAAAAATAATTGCAATTAGTGATTATTACATCACTTAGAAAGTAGACAGGAAAAAAAAAATACTTCCAGATTCTATATATATTCAAATTTAAAACCAAGTACTCTTTTCAAACTATAAAATATTCTTTCTTTAGGTTCAAAAAATTTCAAATTATTAGTAATATGCATGAAACAGCTAGTGAAATGAGTATAATGAATTAGCTTTTTAAATATGTATATAGCTATATAACCTGTTAAAACACCATTAAAGAAATCAGAATAGTATACTTTATATCCAAATTTATTTAACCTATAAATACCTGCAGCCTGCATATAATGCAACTATATTTGTTGGTTCATTCATTTACTGAGTGCCTTTAACTCTATGTTAGATATGCACTGTGCGAGGCTGGAGGGAACAATATTGAAACTAGTGCGTTCTCATCCTCATAGTGGCCAGGGTATAGAAGGAGATACAGACAACTAAAGAAAACAAACAGATGGAGGAGTGGAGTAAGGCCTTTGATGGAAGAGGTAAAATAGGCCATGTGGGCACATACAAGAGGTAGTCAACTCAAACTCTGAGTGAAGCAGAGATTCAGGCAAGTTCCCAGATAAACTATCTCTAAGCTGAAACTTGAAAGAATTGGCCAGCTAAACATTACAGTATAGAAAAGCCCAGAAAAATGGATAGGTTAGCTACTCCATAATGACTGTAGTGTAAGCATTATTATGGTTATATCATCACAAGCAGGTGGGTTCTCTTTCTTTGCATTCTTTCTTCTACATATTTACATGGAACCCACATAGATGGTAGCTGCCTTTTATGAACCAAACTCCCAGCTTCAAGAAAAGATCCCAATTCTACACTGAAACCAAAGACCAAATATTATAATAGTTTTTAAAAGGTGGAAATAATGGGAACAGGGGGATAAACATAAAGCAGGCTATAGTCCTTCGCAGTCAGTCTATAAGATACACAGAATCATGGACTAACCCTATCATAAATAGCTTCTGATGATGATCCCCTGGGCACCTGTCCTCTTGAAAAGGTAGTCAAAAGTCAGAACATTTAGTCACCTTTATATTATCTACATTTTTATTATAGCACTACTGTCTAAATTATAATTTGCACCTGGGTAAAAATAGGCCTTTAGTTAAGTAATTTTTTGTCAGGCTTGGATTCTTTGCCCATTTTGATGTTATACATAAAAAATAATCCCTTACTACCTTCTCCCATCATTCAAAACTATTCTCAAACCCTCCCCTACTGTAGGAAGCCAGCCCTGCATAGTTAAGTTGAACGAATAAAACTATGATCCCCATTTTACAGATGAAAAGAGACATTTTCTCACCTATCTTATGATGTATAATTGACAATCCTATGATCTTATAGGAAAGCCAGGGGTGCGAGACAGAGCTCACAAGTGAGCCTATAAAAACGCACCTAGATCCTTGAAAGATTTCAGTAGTATTTAGGCCATCTTGAAATAAATCTATTAACAATAGGAAAGAATACTATTTCCTTATAATTTCAAGTATGTTGTACTTTTATTTCCTTTGTGTGAACTATATACTTACAAAAAGCCTTTTCTCTGCTCAGTAAGGTTTGCCACTTTGCTGAAATTATTAAGAATTTACTGATTACTGAGTCTCCTGGAGCCCAGAAGAAAAACTTGGACACTTAGCATTGGTGATGGAAAAAATTCCCGGAAGCACCTAGAAATAGCTTTCAAATTCCAGGATATATAAAAATTTGTATTATCTGGGCTCCACCTATGAAAACTTCATTCCAAGACCCCCTTGCTATGCTCTCAGCCACATCTCAGTTCTCTCTCCTATTCAAACAAACCTACAAAACAAAATAAATAAAACAAAACCCCTCACTGTTTAGTTCCAGGCTATGGCTATTTCTTACTTCAGTTTCCTTTAGCTCTAAAGCAAATATTACTATAATCAGTATCCCGTTTTCTGTTTTATCTCCTATTTCTCTCTTCCCAAAGTCTAATTTCCTGTATATCCAATTACCTTCAATTGGAGTAGATCCAGATTTACAAACATTTTATAAAAGGTACATAATAAGAGAAAGCTTTATAATATAAATAAAGGGGTACACGAATTTTCTACAGGAGCAATTTGAGCTTGAAGAGAGATATTAGTTCACCAAAGCTACAAAAAAACTAACCAATTTGAGAGATGCTGTCAGATACAGATATAAAAGAAAAGTCACCTTGTCCATTTTCTTGAGGCTTATTTTTCTTCCAAAATTCAGATTCACGCTCAAGTTCTTCTAATTTAAAAGAAAAAAGTATAAAAATAATAGAAACAATCATGAAATCTTTAACAGAAATGTTGATTTCATAAAAGAGAAATCTGCAAGAAGCAACTTACGTTCTCGTAATCCAGGGACCAGTTTAAATATGATTTCCTCTAATGTATTATCCAACCTTCCAAAGGGGAAAAGAGAATATGCTAACAATGAAGACATCAAAATCCAATACATAAAGTTTAAAAACTTGTATTACAAAATATACAACATACCCAGTTTCAGCACATATACCTAACTCCTCTGCAGGTGGAGCACACCTATTTCTAGCTTTTCCCACGTGGTAGATTGATTACAAAAATGGTTCTAGTCCCTAGCTCTCCCTATATCCACACCCTCTGAAGATGATTTTGAATTCCTCCCTTGATTAAGGAATGGAGTCTATCTTCTCCCCACCTCAAGAATATGGGCTAGCCTTGAAATATGCTAAGGCCAATGGAATATGGCACAAGTGATATTATGCTTAGTTCAGAGCCTAAGCCTTAAGAGGCATATGTTTTTGTTTTTGTTTTAATTAAAGTTTACTGGGGTGACATTGGTTAGTAAAATTACATAGGTTTCAAGTGTACAAATCTGTAATTCATCATCTATATATCACATTGTGTGCTCACCACCCAGAGTCAGTTCTCCTTCCATCACCATAGATTTGACCCCCTTTTCCACTTCTTCTTTTTACATGCTTTTGTGTGCTCTCTCTCTTAGAATCCTGCCAACCATGAGAACAAGTCTGGGGGATAAGGCACCACGTACAAGAGAACCAAGCTGCCCTGCTGAGGCCATCTTAGACTCGCTCACTGACAGCCCATCTCCTACATGACAGATCCTAGGGGAGATAAGCACACAGACCATTCTGCCCAACCAGCAGCTAACTGTAGTCAAATGGATGAACCCAGCCAAGATCAGAACTACCACCTAGAGCTGGGAAGCACTCAGTTGTGAGGAATAAGAAATGCTTTTATTATTGTTTTAAGCATGAATTTAGGGGTGGTAGGTTATACAGCAACAGCTGATACACTGACTCCCAAAATCTCTACAACAACTCTGGCTTTTTCCTATAAATGAAATAATCTCCATTCCTCTCTTCTGAGAAATTTAGACCATTTAGTCATTCTCTCTAAGGGCAATGATATATGTAACTTACCCTCAAATGGTTTAGAAAAAATATATATAGAGAGTAAACATGCAAGCATATGATAAAACAAAAGAGATAAAATGTTAACAATAGACTAATCCGGGTAAAGAGAATACAAGTGTTCCTTAAAAACTACAAAAATGAAAGTAGTATAATTATTTCCAAATAAGAAGTTTAAAAAATTGATATACCTTAGCCAAAGGATTAAATTTGATTAAACAGCGATTGGATTCTTTCAGGTATCTAACAGTCAAAACCAAAAAGTTAAGATAATTTGTTAAAATGTAGCACTGTAAAATGGAGTAGGTAAAAATTACTATGTTACCATTTTTGATAAAAGTATCAGGAAAAAAATTGACAGGAAAAGTTTGCTCTGTTCCCCTCTGAATTATTTAAATCAGAGTGTCTTGCCCTCAGCCTTACTGACATTTTGCATTTTGGGCTGGATTTTGGGGAAGGGGGTGCTGTCCCGTGAATTGTAGGATGCTCAGTAGCATCCAGCATCCCTAGCCTTTACCTACTAGATGCCAGCAGCACCCACCCAGTCCTGGCGATCAAAAATGCCGCCAGACATTGCTATATGTACACGGGTGGTGGGGGGATCACCCCTGGTTGAGAAGTAGGTACTATATAAATCCAACTAGCAGAAGCTTTCCTCAGGACTAGACTACAATAGACCAATGGCTCTCAATGTTAGCACCTATCAGAATCAGCTGGAGGTCTTGCTAAATAAGACAGGCTCCACTCTCTGAGTTTCTGATTCACCAGGTCTGAGAACTGTCATTTCAAACAAGATGCTAATGGTTTGGGGACCACACTCCGAAAATCAGGGCTAGGCCTTTATTTACCTGTAAATAAATTACTTCAACTACAAGCACTAAAACAGAAAAAAAAGTCTGAAATGTAAGACTTGCAAATCCAGATTTACAGAATGATGGCAAACATCCCACAGGAATGAGTGTTCTACATAAGGCTATCTAGAGTAAATGTGTATGTCCCTAAGAGCCCACAGCTGATCTTTGATAGAGCTATGGTAGGAACAGTGGCAAGAAAATAGATAGGTTCAGTGGTGAGGACACCTGGCTCGAAGCTGGGAAGTGAAATTTAAGTTTGCTGAGAGCTTAGGCAAAATCATGGTGAATTTCAATTTCCTAATCTGGCAAAAAGGGTTTGGATTAGTATCTTACAGACTACTTCTGGCTTTAAAAATACATGATTAAACTTAAGTAAATGGCAGTCATTTAAAAAAAATTCTATAAGTTTTACATAAATGTTTATGTACTCTTTTTTGAATATATGATAAATTAAAAAAATTAACAGCACCAAGATTAGTCTCCTTCACTATTAGGTCTGCTCTGTCCACTACCATGTAGCTCAATGAAAGTAGTGTATTGTGTAGAATATTAAAGCACTCTAAAATTAAATAAAATACCTAAAAATGAAAATCATAAAATCTAAATTAACTAATCAAGGCACTAACAAATATTATGATGTATAATAAAAATTCTTAAGCATTTATATGATTTATTTAAGTTAGATGAGCTGTAAAATACATTTACTTACCTCAACATTTCTAATGGATTTGTCTCATGAACTTGGTTGCCACACCTTGGACAATCATTGCTATCTTCAAAGTGCTGGACAATACAAGTCTTACAGACTAAGAAGAAAGAAGGTGTTAGGTTAAAATGCATCATTTGAATTTAAACTGGATGTAATTAGAAACAGTCCTTAAAAATAACCTACTATATAGGTAGAGTACTATTCTTTAATCAAACTGTATAAAACCTTAAAATCGTAACACTGAAAAAAAAATCAACTGAAATAAAGCCTAGTGCCACAATAAAAGGTATATACCATTTTGCTTATTGTTTTTCTTAAGTATATTCACAAACCAAATAATTTATTCATACTACTATAAAAAAGCTAGTTCATTTACATAAAACAACAGGTTTTTCTCATTCAAAGAAGTAGGACCCCAAAAGGTAAAAACATTTAAGTCTGCATTTACTTTTTTTGTTAGAAATGTATTTGAATGCAAAATAAATAGTTCTTAAAAGAACTTGAGAGTTTTCAACATGTTTGGATTACTATTTATTGGCAGGGTGCTCCTGGGACAAACCATGTATCACAATGAACTTCTGTCCTTTGCAGTGTAAGAAGGGTCTATGCTTGCAGGTCCCACGATTCCAGGGAGCACAAAGTATGGTAATGGCATCAAGACAGTACAAAGGAACAAGAGGTAAACTGGAATGACCACTGAGACACTGACAGGGAAACATTAAGATTTTAAATGAAGATTGTAAACAAAGATAACACAAACAGGATTTGTGGATTTTCTGGCCGCAAGTCCATATAGCCTACATCTCCTCCAAATACTACCAATCTTTCTGGCTATGAATCTCTCTCACTTTTTCCATAAGCTTCTATTACCTATGATGCCAACTGTCTTGCCCCAAAACCTTAGAAATATTTACAGCACCTGAGCTACAAAACAATTTTCAATCCAGTTCTCTATACCAATACTGCCTCCTCCATTTTATTACTCTGTATAATCTCCAAGTACAGATCAGCTCTCCCTTTTACAACTCCATTACAAACTATTTCTTTCCCCCTCCTCATGCCCCACACTATTTAGAAAAAGTAAAAGTTTATATAAATGATTGAGCAAGAGTAAACACTAAAGGATTCCTATCACTGAGATTAGGTCTGAAAATTCAAGCATATCACATATACTTGTCAGAACAACAATGGTCAGAAAAGAATTCTAGGTATCTAATTTTAAAATCATTAATACATATAGAGAATAATATCTTGGTATTTTCTTTTACTGAGTCAACAGATGTTTACTGAGGGCCAGACATTGTACTAGGAGTTGGGATGCAGGAATAAACAAAACAAAGTCCATGCCCTTATGGAGTTTATATTCTATTTGGGAAGGCAAACGAAGAATTTCGTTAGTAATACATGAGATTAAAAAAAAAGTGCACTTGGGCTGGCAGCTATTTTAGAGTGGTCAGAGTATAACTTTCTAATTAGGTGACACCTGAGCATATTTTTTTGTTGTTTAAGTACATCTAAATCCCATATTTTCTCCTACTTTTTACCATTACATACAGCTATTAGAGTAACACCCCTTCACTACAATTCTCCAAAATTTGGATTTAAGAGTATCAGAAAACCTTAAAAATAAAAAGGCTTACATATGAATACGTCTTCTGTCCTCAAAATCTCTTGGCCCAAAAAAGGTTTTAGAAAGTCTTTTTTTAAAAAGTCATACTAATGTTTGGGAAGGGAGGGCTGCCTCGTTAAGCCACACTGAAGTGGGGGACAGGGAAGTGGGATTCCTTTAGAACATAGCTGGTATTTGCTCTTTCCCAAGGATACTAGATAAGTCTCTGAAATTTGGGGAAAAAGGCAAAAAAGGACACATTAGAGGCAAGAAGAGCTATTACAAAGCCTGATCCTGTCCTGGGCTCAGATCTTTGTTGTTCAAAAGGTTTGTCATACTCAGGGGCTTCAGGAATTTCTGGTTGTCTATCAGTCTTGGCCAAACAGAGGTACGTGATATGCCCACAGCAAGCCCTCATCTGAGTCAGCCAAAAGGCTCCGAGTAGGAGCCTTTCCTCCCAGGGGCAAAGATACTAATCTAGGTTGTTGAAGAAAGAAATGTAAAGCTCATTCATCCAGATCTACACACAGTGTCAAGAATAAGGCTGTGTTAATTGCTTAAGGCCAAGGCAGCACCAGTGCCCAAGGGTGCCAATGGGGACTATTAATCTATATTCTAGATCTGGACCATCCAATATGGTAGCCACTAGCCACATGTGGCTACTGAGCATTTGAAATACTGCTAGTTCAAGTTGAAATATGCTATAAGTATAAAATAAAGCAGATTTCAAAGGCTTAGTATGAAAACAATCTCAGTAATTTTTTAATATTAATTACATGTTGAAATGAGAATATTTTAGACATAGTGAATTAAATATTAAAATTATTTTAATTTGCTTTTTAAAAAAGTGTCTACTAGAACATTTTAAATTATACAGGTGGCTCACACTTTATTTCTACGGAACACTGCTATGAGACTTGAATCCAGAGTTTCTGATATGAAATCACAAATTTTAAATCAAAATTTAAACTTTCTTTTTTCAACTTTACAAAGGAAAATAATGGAAATACCATCCTCCCCCCTAAACATTTTTAGCATCTCTATTAAATCTGATGACCAAGTAAACATGACAGATGAGCGATCCCATAGGGCACAGGAATTTACCTTATTATATTAAGTGTTACATTAAAGGAATTTTAAAAATTTATTTTTCAGAGGTGAAAGCCAAAAAGTTGTTTCTCAATTAAAAATATTTTTAAATAGTTTTAGGAAGAGAAAAATTTAAGATGGTGAAATGTAATATTCTTACACATTTTCATTTTTGTTCAAATGATTTGGTGGCAGTTGTCATCATAATCACTAACACAGGCTTATGCCTCAGGCATCACCTTAAAGGCTTCAACATATATTGAATTCAACACAGTTTAATAATTTCATCCTCATTACAACCCTATTAATTAGATAATATTATTAGGCCTTTAACAGATGGAGAAAGTAAGTAGAGAACTGCAGCAATTGGCCAAAAACCATGGAGTCAGTAAGAGGTAAAAACCAGGATTTGAATCAAGAGCCCATTTTCTTAACCAATGCATGCCTGTATGATACACTGTCTTCTAATTTTATTTCTATAGGTCTATAACACACACACACACACACACACACACACACACACACACAAAGCCTTCCCCCCCCCCCTTAATTTGGGAACTTTAAATATGTCTATTTATAGAATCAGTTCTCCTTTTAAACTGGGTATTTTGCACAAAATAGCCCTTTTAAGTAACTTCTTTATTCTTTTAAAAGACCTCCAGAATGCATCTCCAGCATGCATTTAAAAGCTGTTAAATAAAGCTCAACCTAGTGCAAGTTAGAACCTGAGAAAACCCATGCCAGAAGTTCAGTGAAACTGAAAAAAGTGAAATGAGAGTTTGCTTTCCCTCAAATGCTTAAAAAACTCATTACTACAAAACCAACCCTTGATTCTTAGTTTATAATTTGGTTTATACCAACTGTAAACCACATTATTAAAATATCCTAAAGATTTAATGCTAAGCTCTCTAATTGCTCAACTGCTGTACTGGTTAACTCAACTGGTCCAAGATACAAAGGTCCCAGTCTGGGCTAAGACTATATGGAGATTAATTAGGATCTTCATTCTCACAGCCACTCCACAGACAGATTCTGTAGCCACAAGAAACATGGGTCAGGAAGGGAGTTAGGCACACCAAAGATATCCACAGTGGAAAAACACTTAAATAGCAACAAGTGCTAAAATTTCCCGAGCACTAACCAAATATTAGGCTCTGGGCTCAGGCTTTGCATGGATTATAGTATGGATTGTTACCGACTCCCTTTGGCAAATGAGCAATGCGGTACTCGAGAGCCTGAGCAGGCTACCCATAGCTGCTCACAGACGCCCAGCTGTGTAGCAGAGATGGCATCCATCCTCAGGCTGTGCAGCACCAGGCCTAAAGTCCAAACCACTATGCAAGGCATCATAAAGTCAGTAACATTTTGTCCCTGGCATCGAGATTTCATGTTTTTTACTCATCTTTATATTTAGCCCATCGCAATCATGAAACTTCTGCCTAAAGCTTAATAAGTGAAATCCTTCCTTGTACTGTTTCCTAGATTTGAACTAGGTTGTTGCACAAATTAATAAAGAGTCATTGTGTCATCGAAAGCAGTGGTTCTCAAATTGAAATAGGCACCACAATCATCAAGAAATTTTTTAAAATAACTTATTTATGGACCCAATCCCAAACCAATTCAATCAGAATCTGGGAGATTAACACCAGGACTTTAACTTTGCAAAGCTCTCCAGTGAGGCAGCCAAAAGATAACTGGGAAATTCTGGCCATAGGAGGCCAGAAGCTGGCCAAAAAATCCCTACTGGCTGGTACCTCTCTTAGGTGGCCCCATTCCAGGATTTGGCCCTCTGTCAAATCATAATCAGAAGTCACTTTATTATTCACCATTTGAAAATCACTGTCACAAGACAAAACACAATCAAAAGAATAGGGGATTAATGTCCCCTCTTCCTGTAATGCAGATTCACACGAGAAGCCAAGGTAGTACGGCACAGTTGCTCAAAGACAGTCTTGAGGCAGAGTGCCCAGATCTGAAACCCAGTTCTACCGTCAGGCACATTACTTACTCTGTGCTTCTATGTACAAGGGAGAGAAGGGTACCTATTTTCCAGGGTTCTTGTGAGGAATAATGAGATAATATATATAAAATATGTAAATGAGTATCTGGTAACTTGTAAATAGTCAATAAATGTAAGCTATAACTATAAATTAGATCGCTAGAGGAGCATAAAATCATAACAAGGAGGATCAGAGTAACAGAATACTGACTGCTATCAGACTATGATTAATTTGATGCACCCATCCTAAATAACAGATGATCTTGCTAAGAGAACTTGAAATGTCTGTCATGTACTAGTATTAATCTTCTGCAACTATGTCTACCTTAGAGATAGTCTTGCAACTCAAGTATGATATTTTCGACATATTTCTTCACCTGAATGAGAACTGCCTTTCTTT